TCTCTGGCTCGGCCAATCCCAGCAGGAGCCTGGCTCAGCCAATCACTGCAGGTCTCTGGCTCGGCCAATCACAGCAGGAGCCTGGCTCGGCCAATCCCAGTGGATGTTGGCTTTTGCAGCCTGTGTCCAGGAGGGCAGTGGGAAGCCAGCCCCTCCCTGTCCCAGGGTGCCTCAAACTCTGAACATTCAGCTTTCGTTTCCCTTCTGATTGTTTCATCCCTGGTTCTTTCTGCGGAGTGACGGAGCGAGACACAAATAAACCATGTCCGAAATGAGACAGCTGAGTGTGTTTTATCTCTCGCTGGTACGTTGCTGAGCGAGACACTGCCCTGAGATACAATTTATTACACTGACCTGGGAGATAGACACCCTGGATCACCTGACACACACCTGGGGTCTGTGTTCACAGACACCCTGGATCACCTGACACACACCTGGGGTCTGTGTTCACAGACACCCTGGATCACCTGACACACACCTGGGGTCTGTGTTCACAGACACCCTGGATCACCTGACACACACCTGGGGTCTGTGTTCACAGACACCCTGGATCACCTGACACACACCTGGGGTCTGTGTTCACAGACACCCTGGATCACCTGACACACACCTGGGGTCTGTGTTCACAGACACCCTGGATCACCTGACACACACCTGGGGTCTGTGTTCACAGACACCCTGGATCACCTGACACACACCTGGGGTCTGTGTTCACAGACACCCTGGATCACCTGACACACACCTGGGGTCTGTGTTCACAGACACCCTGGATCACCTGACGCACACCTGGGGTCTGTGTTCAGAGACACCGGGGATCACCTGACGCGCACCTGGGGTCTGTGCTCACAGACACACTGGATCACTTTAGATTTCCCTGTGATCTGTGTTCAGAGAGAAAGACACACTGGAATATCAGCTTGTAAAAAGTTCAATACCACAGTACACCAGATTCCCTTATAAATGCATGTACAGTTTTAAGAGATAGCGAAAAAATGTCATTTATTAATTAATTTATTTATGTATTTATATCTTGTAGATTCTCCCACCCCCCCACCCACCCCAAAAATAGAAACTCCCGTTTATTAATCTCACAAAAATAAACAAACAAACAATCAAAAAGGTAAATAAAGAATTCATCAATGACCGGATCAAAGAAGTCGATCAATTAAAATCAGAGAGAACAATGATAATAAACAGAATCGCAATAATAATAATTATAATAATTGTCTTCATCATCGTCATAGTAATGTCAACATTCATAACAAACCCATGTACAGCAGGAATTACACACTTCAATACTCTTCCTGGTAATATTTACAGCCACTCCCACAACTGTACACTGAAAACACAGGTTCCACGAAAGGAGGAAAGGGGCGGGGCTATGGCTCATCGGGGGGCGTGGCCAGAAAGCAGCTCTGTACAAATAGAAAGGCATGATGGAGAGCGGGGGCGGGGCTACGTGTACCGAAGCAGGGGCGAGCCAAAGAGGGGCGGGGTTGGAGGGAGCTCTGTACAAATAGAAAGAAGGGTAGGGCGGGGCTAAGGTTGCCAAGGAAGGGGCGGGGTTAAAGGAGATCTGTACAATGTACAGGGCTGGCGGGCGGGGCCAATGGAGCGCCGGGGGGAGGGGTTACAGCAGAGGAGGCGGAGCTTTAGAGCACTTTAGAAAAGTTCATGTAAAAAAGAAAATTTCAGCCCCTGGTAGGAGAATTGTGATACAGCGGAGAACCGAAATGAAATAAACCAGAATAAATATATACATACACACCTTACAGTCATCATGATAGCTCAGTAATAATCATAACAGCAAGAAGAAGAAGAAGAAGAATGAAAATAATCCTAATAATAATCATAAGTGAGGATGACCTTAACCAGCGGAGAAGCTTATATACAGAGTGCTGTCCCTCAGCAGGGGCCGGAGAGAGAGCTGGGAGAGAGGGGAGTGAGTGCAGACCCGCCACAGGGCGGCGCTGGGGTCACTATTGTATATGGCTTCAAGGGTCCAGGGTGTCGGTTCTGTCGGGCTTCTGTCCCCCTGTGTGCAGCTCCAGCGGAGCAGAACTGCTGGACAGCCTGGAGCCAGGGGGCATTGTGTGT